CTCCTTAACATACTTAGATCGGACATGTAAGACCGGCCCCCAACCATTCGAGAATGGCCGTAACTTTTCTCTTTCTCACCCATAGCCAAGTTGCTAGTGGCCGTCTAGAAACCGACTACTTAGCTGCAGGATCCGAATTTCCCGATTCGAGACCACTAGTCTTGAGCTTTTCAAGCTCCCCGATCTTGTCGTCAATAAGTGCGATCTCAGCCTCGATACTCAACACTTTCTCGTTCAAGATACCCCTGTAATCGTCATCCGAGAGTGACTTGAGCGGGATCCATTTGGAGTCGGCCATCCGCTGCAGGAACGGCTTAGACGTCGTATTCGCGTTCTCCATTTGCCAGGTGTCGATCGCATTATAAGAGCTTTGCCCGACATAGCCTAGTAGCGAGAAAACAACTAGCCCAGGGACAAGTCGCCCGCCTAGCTCCGACCATCAGTAAACCAACCACCACCACCTTTCTCTCTCAACCTGGAAAATGGAAGGATGCTACCAAACTCACCCATTAGCCTCGTAACAGCCCCTCCGGCAACTCCTCCAGAGAGGGCGCTGACATAAGCCCTTTGCTTAGGAGTCGCCTTGTCTTCATAGTGAAGCTTTAGAATGTTGCTTCTCAACCCTGTAGTAGCAAGCTTGGTATCATATCCAGATCTATAAGGGACAGAGGAGAGGAAGACTCACACCAAAAGGAGGCTCCACATGCAAACCAGTGGATTCCGCAAGAGATAGAATGAATGACGGGGTGGGGAGACCGGATAACTCCTGATATTCCCCCGTATATGAGACCAGCAGATCCTGTTAGAAAAAAGAGTAAGTAAGTAGGACTGCTGCAATGAGTCTCCGGCTTATGTTGCCTGAGTTGAGGCAATACAAGCCGGCCGACCAGTCACCGGGATGGGATTGGTAACTAACCAGTCACGGCTCCCACCTTCAGAGAAGAGGTCAATACATTAGGCTCCGGATATAACGATTTGGTCTGTCCGCTCATTTTTGCGGTTCCTGGCACTGTAGTCTGCGACTTCAGGTCAGAGGCATATCCTGGTTAACAGTTTCAATCAGCATCTTCGCTCATGCAAATCCACAAGCGTGCACGTGATTCACGCAGGCTCGGGATGCTTATCTAATCCATCTCCCTCTTGATGCCAAGCAGGAGTATAATTAATACAATGGCCTGCTTTTTATCTATCTGATGCAGACAATATCCTGTGTTAAGGCTCTTGTGGGACATCTGAATGCCTTAAATACACACATACTATATACAAGACTCTCGCAAGTAAGACATCTCTAGAATTTATGAACCTGATCCTTCGAGAAGCCCAATCGGCTCAAGATTCCTTCAGGCGATCTTCTTGTTCCAACCAGAGAATCTTCCATCGCTGGAGGACCGCAAATGAAGACCTTCGTATGTTGCGTCGACTCTCTGAATGTGCTCCTTAGAAGCTCCTCGTCGATGTACCCTGTTCTGTAAGGGGAGTTCTCCTCTTTCGGACGGCTAACAGTGTATATGTAGTTGAAACGTTCAGGAAACTCTGTGGCATAACGATCAAGTTCCTCCTTCAACAGTAGATCTTCCTCGGAGTTGACCCCAAAGACCAAAGTCAGTTTCGTTCTGTCCTGAGGATTCTTCAGGATGCCTTTGATAAGCTGATAGATAGGCGTGATTCCAGCCCCGCCAGCCAAGAGGTAGGCGTGGGAGAACTCATTCTGCTTCCACTGATAGCCTTTCAGTGAAGTCGCAAACCTGAGTGAGTCTCCTGGTTTCAAGGAGTGCAAGTAGCCACTAGCCTTCCCGTCCGGGTATTGCTTGACCATAAGTTCTATACGTCCTGGTTCATCTGTGTATTTGATGTTACTTAGCAAACATGGTCCATGATAGGCCTATCCCTGACCACACGCATGTCCCATCTCTATGATAGATGGACCGTGTCTAGGCGTTCAGGGCGTGTTGAGTCGGACACGGTATGAGCTCACCCAAGTCACTTATAGGAGTATATGGTCGAATCGTAGGAAGCCAGCCCCCTTCCGGATGGGTGATGGCTAGGAGCGCGGCTGTTGAATGTTAGCGGGTTATCCTGACGACAGAGACCGTTCTTCAAGGGGCAAGTCTTACAAGTCAATGTCAGGCCGCTGCGGGCGGATTCGTTAGGGTATTCGAAGACTAGTCGCTTCGTATTGTGATTGACGGTTTTGGTGCTCTGCAAGCGCAAAGTGGTGAAACCCAGCCCAGAGAAGACTGGTTTTGGCTCGTTCGATTCCGCAAACGCTGTTGAGAATTGCTTCGTGCAATATATGCCCAGGCCTGCAAAGCCAGCCACTCCAGCAACCTTGATCGCCTTGGGGATTGTGCGCTGGATGATAGTCATCCTTTTAACAAAGAACCACTCCTTTGTCAAGATGAAAACGAAGAAAGCAAAAACGGACGAGAAGCACTCAGGAAGTACATTGGGGCTTCACGCCTTAAATAGGCCGAGAAATCAGGAGTGTACTCCATCTCGCATAAGGCGAAAGATCACTGTGGACCCAGGGACAAAGCAATTGCCTCAGAGGAGCATGATTCGTTGGACGAGATCAGTCGATAGACTATCGACCCCAAACTAGGGAGACCAGATCGGGGATATGGTAGAGAGGAGGACTGCAATGATATACAAAGTGCAGTCCCAAAGACCGAGCAACAACATCAGATTCCAAACCCCGACAAAATCCGAGACCCTGGATGATGTCAACGACAGACGGTGGTGTGTTTGTGTGCCTGACGGCAGCGGGTCGGTGCCTTGATCTTCCCGCCATCAAAGCGGGTCCACCGAGTAAATGCATTCAACAATTTGTGACCACTCCATTCCTACCCCTATGGCTTCGATATTCTCATTCCATCTGTAGCAATGTATTAGGATTCGCCTGTTGTCAAGTTTACATGAAGCCAACGTCTTTTGAAGACCACCCGGAGTAGATTACTCCATTCAATACAGTACTACAGTCTCTGGAGATAGTGCCCATGATTGAATCTTCGACAACAACTACTATGATATATATGTTACTACTTGTCGTTGTCACATTATACTAGTATTACAGCAGTACTTAATCATGCTATGGCATTCACTCTGCTTAAACTGATAGGGCATGAGATCGACTTCCGCCATGTATGCATAGACTGACAGGGTGTTTGGCGGCCCGCAGATCCTGACTCCCCGCTGCGGGACGCATGGGGAGTGAGTGGAGTGCGGGTCGCTCAGGTTGTACAAGTAGCTGGCGTGTTGACTGGATCAAAGATGTAAAGAGGCCCTTGCAGTTCCTCTGAAGAGCAGCGGGGGCTGTGCGTTGACCATTGCATTTATAACAAATAGAAGATTTGGCTGGTTGGACTAATGCAGGCTTCGCGAGGCTTCATGAACAAGCCACACGGGAAGTCTCTTGAGCAGAGCCACGGAATATTGCGCCCTTCTTACTTAGTTCTGAGACTGTATCTACTGCGCGCAGCCTGGTTTGCATCTTCTCTTGGACGCTTGTCTACATTTGGAGCCTACATTAGTGTCCATGTGCAGCGTGAGGATGCCAAAGACGTGCATCAACCGGGCTGATGAAGAGCAAGATATGTCCTTAGCCCCGAGAATGGCGTACGAGCCATGTCAAATCAACAGTCGCTCATCACCCTTCACTTGCCAACTGTATACGTTCTCAAACTCCATGTTATCCTCGCTGTACACTAGGCGCACAATCCCAACCATGTGACTAGATCCTTATGTCCAAATACGTAGCCGCTGCCGGTACCGTTGTATAGAACTGTGACAACCTAGGAATATCCAAGGGTTGAAGGAACTTGTAAGTGGGCAAGTCCTTCGAGTGGGAGTTGGCATTGGTGTGTCTTCAACAAATGTAGAATATCACCGAAGACGCCTCCTTCGGATGGACTGATGGGTAGTGTTTGAGTTGAAGCCGACAGCGTTTCTCGAAAACTAGTTGTCTTCAGTCGTACTTTGTTTCGTTGTGGACACGAACAACTGTTTGGAAATCGACAATCACCGACACACCCGAACGTACGGAAAAGTACCCGAACAGCGCTGAGCAATAATTTTGTACTGTACTTCCAGTCTGTGTATATTGTATCTTCCGTATTCCTAGTCACCACCTTGACGTGGAGATGTATTTTGGGATGGCGTGGGGGTCACAGGCTTCGGAGGTGAATGGTAACTAGCTCCATCAGTAGCAATGCCTTTTTGCTGGGCGGTTGTGAGTCTGGGTGAGGAACTGCCAGGAAGACATTCGCAGACAGAAAATGAATCACTACTGTGTATCATAGCAGTGCACGATGGAAGTTAGTTTGATAAATTAGCAACTTGGAAAAGGCAGATGAGAGAAAGGGAGTGATTGCAAGTGATGTCTGCGTGTCGGTTAAGTGCCGTTCCTAGAATGGAACCAACCGCGCAGACAATGAAGACAAGAATGTCTGGCCCAAAGCGGAATGGGGCCTATTCAAGCGGAGAACCGATGAACAAACAATATTCACCACCATAACAATAGTAGTAGTGACAAGGGACCAGAAAAGGGAGACGAGTTTGACAGTCCACAGTCACTTATACTCATTATCTCATCGAATCCGACCGAAAAAAGACACCGGGTGGAGAGGAGAAAGAGGGGTGGAAGGAGAGAGACACACTTTCTCCGCAAAAAGGCGAGGGAAAAAAGGTGGAAAAAAGCCCTCGGGTTGGGTCGAGGCGGCCGACCCAAAGCCGCACCAACACTTTTTGGAGGCTGACTTTTCTAGCGTCATCACTAAAATTTATCCTCACGGATTAACCTACTTTCCCCCTCTGTCCTTCACTGCGGAGCTGTCCTGCATTCCCCCCATCACTCAACGCCCCTTTGGACGTCCACTATCACTCTCGTGATTTCTTCCCCGTCGGAAGCCCCCCCCCCCTTTAAATCCTTTAGAAGAACCTTTATTCTGAGACGCGCACAGGAATCCCCTTGGCGCGTTTCCCACTTCTGAACAACCGCAATCATGGGTACGTTTAACCCCTCCTCGTCCGGCGCACTGTCCCAATTCACGTCAATTTCGCATCCTCTGAACTGTCCTGGATACTAATGGCTTTATTCTACGTACAGCGCCCTCTAAGCAGAAAGCCCAGAAGATGTCTCTGGGCAACTTCTTGGCCGATGAGAGTATGTCCCTGTGCATCCATATCGTCGCGGGGATGAACGGTGGCTAACAGGAACAGACTTCGGTTCTTGGGCCGACGAGATGGAAGACATGCCTTTGCCTTGTAAGTGACGGATTCCTTGCCTTTGGTTTACCGCTCCCTGCTAATACTGATGCCTTTCTAGCCGGTACGTTGTACATGATATTTCTTCCTTCGATCCGATTGATGCTAAACTTATATCAGCTCCCGCTCCGTCCAGCTTCGGTCGCTCTGCTGCGCCTTCTTCTGGCTTCGGAAGCAGCTTTGGTGGTGGTACGGAACTCGCCCCTGTGTTATTGCTGCATTTTTGTTCCGATATATGTGTTTGATGCTGATGGATGTACCAGATCGTGAGCGTGGTGGCTACGCCGTGAGAGAGCCCCTTCCTCTTCCGACCCAGCCCCCCTACACTGCCCATGTTGGAAACCTGTCCTTTGATGCGACTGCCGCCGATATCTCCGACCTCTTTGCCGACTGTGGTGTTACCAACGTCCGTATCGTGGAGGACAAGTTGACCAAGGCCCCCAAGGGCTTCGGATATGTCGAATTTGAGACTGTTGATGGTCTGAAGAAGGCTCTTGATCTTTCCGGCGCTACCCTCCAGGGACGTTCCATCCGCACCAGCATTGCCGAACCTCGTAGGTGTCCCTTCTCAAGTATGATGTTTTGCGCCAGCTGACGGTACCTATAGCCAAGGAACGTGATGTCAAGGAGTTTGACTGGACCCGCAGAGGTCCTCTGCCCGATATTCCTCAGCGCCGTGTGCCCGATCGCTCCTCTTTCGGACGCAACCTCGACAACATGTCTGATGCCGGCAGCGACCGCGGTAGTGGCCGCCGCAGCAACTTTGAGAGTGATGGAAAGTTCCGTGATTTCAGCAACTGGGAACGCAAGGGCCCTCTCTCTCCCCCGCCTGCACCTGTCCGGGAAGGTGGCCGTCCCCGCAGCAACGAAGCACCTGGTTTCAGAAGAAGCTCCCCCGCCTGGGGTGAGGGACGCTCCCAGGATGGCTCCCGCCCCCCGAGACGCGAATTTCAAGAACGCACCCCCACCGCTGCTGAACTCGATAACGCATGGAGATCCAAGATGCGCCCCGATCAGCCCGCCAAGGAGGCCAGCAACCCTCCCTCTCCTGCTGCCGCTCCTGCCGCCCCCGCTACTCGCCCTCGCTTGAACCTCCAAAAACGGACTGTGACTGAGGCCGTCTCCAGCCCCACCGCGAACACCGAGTCCAAGGCTAGCCCGTTCGGAGGTGCTCGCCCGATTGACACTGCCGCTCGCGAGAAGGAGGTTGAGGAACGTCGCCAGATTGCCATCCGCCAAAAGAAGGAAGCGGACGAGAAGGCCAAGGCCGAGAAGCCTGAGAAGTCTGAGAAGACCGAAAAGCAGCGTCCTGCCAAGGAGCAGCCCAAGGCTGAGAAGACCGGTGCGCCGGCTGATCCCAACGGCCGCGATGTCGCCGAGCACGCCCAGGGTGGCACGAACTTCGAGATCCTCCGGCGGGCCGGTGAGGACGAGAGCGGTATGACTGCCGATCAGGATCAGAGCGAGGAGGCTGCTGCCAAGAAAGCTGAAGCCTCGACCGACGCTCCCGCCAGCAAGGCGAACGGCAACTGGAGGGCTGGGCCTGCCGAGGCTGGAGCCGACGACGAGGGCTGGAGCACCGTGAGCTCGAAGCAGCGCAACAACCGCCGTGGCGGCCGCACGTTTGCATAGATCAATGGATACCCCCCAAGCTCGTCATCGCTTGACCGAAAATCGTGCGCCATGGTCCCCGAAGTGCGTGTCATAAAGCGACCAGACTTTGCTTCTAGCCCATGTTGGGTCGCCGAATTGCCGCGCAACACTCGTGGGGATGGCCAGGTGGATTTTGGTTAACGTCGATGTCCGTTTGTTTTGTTGTTCAGAGTCGTCCTCAACTTCTTTCGCTTTCTCCTTTCTCTCTTCCCACGGGTTGCCGCCTCCGTCTAGATCTAGGATTCAGGTCTAGTCCCCTTGTTTCTTCCGTCAAGCATGTCGAAAAGTTTGTTCTTTTCTCCAAATTTCCTAGTGTGTGTTCTTCACGTTTCTCTGAGCTAGTTATTCCCATGTACGTGGATGAAGTGTTATACAGCAATGACCCTTATGGCTGATGCGAAGGAAGAAGAGTATACGTTTCTTTTCACTTGTTATCTTATGCTTTCTGAACTTGCTGATCAAAACCCCAACCAACCCTCCATTCGCCTCCGAAATCAATTTGTCCAATCCCTTTTTTTGCTGCCAGACAGTTGCTATTCTTACTCCACTCTCCAAACTCTCTTTCCTTTTAAACTCTGTCTTGCTTCTGGATCCGGGGATGGCGTGTGGAGTCTTGTTCCCTTCTTGTTCAACCTAACCGGAGAGCCCCCATGCATGTCCCTACTACTAGTTGACACGAGGCAGTTCCCCCCATACGAATAAGATAACGATTAGCAGTTTATAAGACCTAGTAGCTGTAGTATGCATTGTGCTATCTCGTAGTCTAGTCAGTAAATGAATGACAATAATCTCTACTACTACTTAAATGTGCGAGAGTGCGCTCCTCAAGATCGACTACTATGCGGCTATATATATATTGAAACCAAACTGAACCCACTAATAAAACACATAAATATAAGAACTCATTAAACCCCTCCCCCATCCTTGACAATTCTCCCAAGAAAAGAAAGCAATAATCAAAAGCAAAGAAAACAAACCACAACCAATCGTTTTCTCCCTTCCTCCATCAAGGCAGCAAGTACGCGCGGAGAAGCTGAAGGGAACAGAGAGAGGGAGGGAAAACCAAACCTAATTCGATCGAGAGGATCGACGGGATGCATGGCGACCCAACTAGTAGCAGTACCTAGCAGCAGCTGAAGAACGTGAGTGAGTAGTAGTAAGAGTGATTAAGAGTGAGTAAGAAACTTAGTTCAGTCAGACCATCAATTTGATTCATTGGTGAGTGAGTGAGTTCTTCGCTCCCAGCCCCCATCCCGAATAGGAAGTCGGGTCCCCGCGGATTACGATCCGCTGGTTTGTCTGTCTGTCTGTCAGAGAGATTATAATCGGGGTGAGAGGGGAGGAAATAAAGGCAAGTATTCCCGTAAAATGTTGAGCTGGAGCTAGATTACTACGTAAGTTAATCTTTATCTATCTGGTTTTATTTTTATCCATCGCATTTGGACGCGACGAGACTGCGACTAACTAGACTACGATTGCTACCATCTGATTACTATCCCGCTACCCTACCCCACATATCATACTACTGTCTGTATCTAAACTAGAGCTCTTGACCGACCGACTGACGGGCTCTGTTTTTTCTTTTTCCTTTCGCACATATCTCTCCTCTTCCCCTCACGATCCTTCTCTCAGTAACACCCCTCTCTGTGTGTCGGAGTCAAGATGTATCCAGCTGAATTCCTTTCCGATCCGCCTTCTACGGGCTCTGCGCCCTGGAAGCTTGCTTTTCGCTCCTCCAGGGCATTTGTGATTTCTGTCGTGGCTATTGCGGTCTTCACGGTATTTATTCCTTGTGATGATGAATCGATTATTTTGGTGCTGATGGCGTTTTCGAACATAGGATGTGTTCATATATGGAATGGTAACTGCACACCAACCTCGGATCGGCTCGGAGCTTCATCTGACCAGTATAGATTGTACCCATCTTGCCAATTGTGCTCAAAACACGCGTGATCGTACCGGAAGATGAATGTAGGGTGTCTCTGTATCAGAATTGACTAGACAACAGGCTAACGTCCACAGTGCAAAAATGGATGTCAATCATGCTGGCTGCGTTTGGCGGTGGTGTATTCTTCGGATCCCGTAGGTGCCGTTATCTTACTTTCTGAGATGAGCGCAATTAACACCGAGTTGCTAGCCATATTCGGTTATTTCGCGGATAGAAGCTCATCGCGCCAGCTTCCGTTCCTTATTGGACTGCTCGCGCTCGCCGGGACGACTATCGTGTTCTGGTTCGCACAAACAGTGTCGTCCTTGGTCATTGCGCGCAGTCTCCAAGGGTTGTCAGCTGCCGTGGTCTGGACTGTTGGTTTGGCTCTCGTCGTCGATACAGTGGGAAAGGATCAGGTGGGAGCTGCGATGGGATATGTCTCGATGGCACTGACCGTGGGGACGGTGTTTGGCCCATTTATCGGAGGGATCATGTGAGTTTAGTGTTTGTTGCATTGGATGTTTTGATGGCGATTTACTGAGAATCTAGGCTGTCGCGAGTGGGCTACCATGCAGTGTTCGTATTGGCAATCGGGTTGATCGTGCTGGATATCTGTCTTCGGCTTGTGATGGTCGAACCGAAGAATGCTGCGCAATGGATTCAATCGAGCAGTGATGGAGAGACACAAGGTCTGCTAAGCGAAGCTGGTGCGCACGGCGCCGGGTACAATGCAATTACGGCAAATGCTGGCGCAGGTCAGGCATCTGGCATCGCTGATGAGTGTCCAACCGAGGGCAGCGGCGAGCCGCTGACCAGCGGAAGGTCGACCTCTGTACCTGGGATTGTCCGCTTGATATTTTCCGGCAAGTTACTCGTCGTTCTTTTAGCGACGGTAGTGGATGCCATCATCTGGTCCGCTTTTGATACGGTATGTGCACATCCCATATTTTCAAAGATGAAGTTAACGAGGTCAGGTGCTCCCACTGTATGTCATGAAAACGTTCGGCTGGGGATCATTCGAAATCGGGCTGTGTTTCCTACCGCTCTTTGCACCTTCTTTCCTCTCCCCATGGATTGGTATGTATCAGACGATCTCTATGCCCTCTGGCTCTGCTAACCAATGATTGCAGGCGATGCAGTGGACCGTTGGGGAGCACCTCGAGTAGCCTTTGTTGGCTTCCTGCTCGATTTTCCAACACTGTTGCTCTTCCAGCTTATCGCACGCAACACGACCCAGGACCAAGTTCTTCTCTATGTATTCCTCTTCCTCGCAGGTGTCGCCTCTACCCTGCAGATGGTGTCTCTGATGACGGAGGTCAACAACGTCACGGAGCGGTACGAGCGGGAATTCCCCGGTATCTTCGGACATCAAGGAGGAACTGCGCAGGCGTACGGGCTTTTCAATGTGGCCTGGTCGGGCGGGCAGGTACTGGGGCCCTTGGTAGCGGGTCTGCTAGTCGAACGAGCCGGCTGGACGACAATGGTGACGGTGTTGGGGGCAGTCAGCGGAGGCATTTCCGTGGTTATCGCGCTCTCGGATCGAAGGGTTCTGCCGGGGAGGGAGAAGAAGTAACGTTGGACGTAGATTGATGAGCTACGATGCTAAGGCTGTGATGATGAGTATGAACGATAAGTAACGATTGATGGATTAAAAGGGGTGGAGATGAGATGTGGATTCGAATCAAGATGTTGATATAAGATCTTCCGGTCGGGAGGGTATAATGAAGCCGGGAGGTCTGCAAGGGAGACAAGATCGGTGATTCCTCAGCGCACATCTCCTTTCTAGATAGGTTAAGGTTGAAGATCTCCCGGGCCAGCAAGGGAGCCCGATCTTTATCAAGGCTGCAGGGTTTATCAATTATCTCATGGCTGGTGTTACCCTGGCGATAAGAAACGCGATGGCATCCAGGGCGGTTGGCCAGGAGGCTGGAATGGAGTCGAGGCTTTTCACAGCACGCCTCCCAGTCGGTGTATCAAGCGCCTGGCTGTCGGACCTTTGTACGAGACAGACCAAGCAAGTCAGCTTTAGGAACTGTCACGGGCATGAGATGCAACTGGCAGATCAACCAGACAGGCAAATGACGAGTCACCAACAGCAACTCACTAGCCAGCGGGTCTCAACGGCGCGGTCCACACGTGTTGCCTCGCGCGCGGATCCAACAAGATTCCACGGCGTCTCCAAGGGTTCGCAGAAGGAGCAACATTGTTGGTTGGTGATAGGCAGTCCAATGCCAGAGATATGATGATCACATCCATTGGCAGTTACACGGTCTCCCCAACGATAGTACGTAGTAGTACTTGGGTGACTGCCAGCGCAGCAGAGGAAGGAGAAGATGCATTCCTTCTGCTGTTCTGGAGAGGGAAAGACCGGCGGCTCCCCACCGCTTCCCGCCGCAGGGACAATTAATGCATTCAATTTTAATCAATTATTCTTCCCCGTCTTACTACTACTTACTGCCTGTGCTGACTTCCTTCCTCTCACCGGCCTCATCCCCATCTGCCTCTGCACGCTCTCTCGCTTTCTGGTTTGAGCAGGCTGGCTACCGACATCTTCTCTTCCAACCACCTTCCCTTGCCTCACTACACCACTGCATGAGCGTCCCTTAAGCAGCCTGGCCTCCTATTTATTGTCTCTCTGCCGCTTTCTGCGACACTGGTCCGGCATCCTTTCATTTCAGCCTCCCGCCGCTCAGTTTCACCTCCGATCCGCTGACGTTGCCTTCCCTACAATTGATTGTGCATTGTACACGATCGAACTTGATCCTCACTTTCACCTCATGTGGCACAAACAATGTCGACCACCACCACTACCACCGCTCTAACGTCCACCACGCTCATCGGCACGCTGCCCTCTATGGCGGGCGCTGCCGCTCTCGTCTCCGGAAAGGCCTGTCCAACTTGCGGCCAGGACGGATTTCTCGCGGCTGGACAGTCCACAAATGATACCCGACGTCGAGCGAAGGACCTTGAAGGCCAGGTCAACGCTCTGAACCTGCAAGCAATGCAAATGGGTGAGATACATAAACCCCAAACTATACATTGATAGTGTACTAACGGAAGCATTCTTCAACAGCCGAGAAACTGGCCGCATACGAAGAAGAGATCCGACGATTGCGTGCGCAACCGTCTTCCCGAAACAACACATCCGTGTCATCCACCGCATCGACGCAAATCGACCGGTCCCAATCACCTACTTACCTCCAAACGTCCCCGAAATCGCAACCGGGCCGACTTTCTACTCTTGCCTCTT